AATGGTTCGAAATACTTTGAAAGATTATTTTGAAATTGTTTTAAGATTAAAACTTAATTTTACACTTAAGTAAGGATTAAAAATGATTTTTGAAATATTTGGAGTAATGTTTTGATATTCGAATAATTATATCAATATACTTAGAAAATCATTTGGAAATCTTAAAATTCATTTAACTTAATTTGTTATATCGAAATATCAAAATGTTTTCAACAAAGTTCCAACATCAAATGAGACATTGATAACTGATTTTTCTCGTACACATGAACTATTTTATGTGCCAGAGATGCCACAACTTCTTGAAGGGATTAAATCTAACTCTTTTAGAGTGAATATACAAGAAATGTGGTGTGATTCTGGACTACAAAAGTTAAGTTGATCTCATCTATCAACGAAACCCATAAGTAATGAAAAAAACCCAAATAAGATTCAAACTTTGCTATAATTATACCATATCCAATTTTATTAAGGGAACTAGATCGTCTAAAATCCACTCGAATTCATTATGATATGAATATTCGAGACTTATAAAAAAACCTAAAAGATATGAGAATTGTAGAAATCCATCTACAATAGAAAAAATACCCATCTCTTTTAGCATCTCTCAACCGTGAACCATAATTATGTAATTTTATTTTCTGATTTGTAATTTCTTGTATTGTATTTTATGGTATTATATTTATATATATTAATTTATGATATTGTATTTTATGTTATTTTAATTTTATGATATTATATTTTTTGGTATTCTCTTTTATGTAATTTTATTTTGTATTTTTTCATATAAATATTAATCATTATATGTACTTTTTATTTTATTTTATTCATTTAACAATTTATATTCACAATCTCATATATATATTAACTTATTGTTATACATTGAAATATCTTAACTTACTCATTTAGGATAATGAATTAATAATACAAATAATGGAAATTGGGGACTAAAATACAAATATTAAATATGTTAAGTCTTATATTTGAATTCAAAATAATTTTATTAATTAAAAAACCCTAACCCTAAACCATTAAGTCTAACCCTATAAAGAGTTGTATTAATAGGGGAAAGGCGTGTTCTATAGAATGCCTTCCACGTGTGATGCCGTGTGCCTTTATCACGTACTGAAAGGATGGTATTTTGATAAATATTGGTCAAATGATGCTATTTCGATAGATATATTATTACTTTTGAATATTTTTAGATAAAATTTCCCTCTCAAAATTTTATTTAAAATATAAATGTGTGTAAATATATATTAGAATTTTAAAAATAATATTATTAAATAGATAGTTAATAACTTCGAATATACAACTTAAAAATGAATACAATTAATAATGGGTAACTACTAAGTGACCACTTAGTTATGGAATTAGTGTTGCATGACCATCAAATTTTCAATTTTATCAATATGACCATATAACTATTTAAGTGGTTTCAATCAAACCATCTGTCGTTAAAATTTAATGAAGTAGCTGACATAACAATTAATAAAAATTGGTATAGTTACATATTTTTCCTCACAACTTATACATTCTCTCAATTTGATCCTAATTTTAATTTAATTATCCAATCAAATTGTGATACATATCACCACTTGATTAAAGTTTAAAATTTTAATATAAATAATTTAATAATTTAATTAAATTAAGGGTAAAACACACAAATGGTTTCCTTGACTATAGGATTGTAACATCCTCAATACGGGTTAGTAACCAAAGTGTGAGATTTTAAAATTTAGTGATCATATTAAATAAATTGAAAAGTACAAGGACTTAATTGAAAATTTTGTGTAGGATGCATATCAAAGGAAGGAAAGTTGGAAGGGAAAATGAGTCTTTGAATAAGGAAATAATTAAAAATTTGTTTATGGGTCTTTTAATACCCATGTGGTTCATGTGTAGGAAACAAAAGTTTCAAGACTTCTCTTCTTCAACTTTCTTCTTCTCCACCGTGAAGCATTAAGCAAAGGTGAGTTGGCTTTTTTGGTTAATTATTAAGAGTTAAGTATGGTTTTGGTTAATGAAGCTGTAGAAAGATGATGGAGAGAAATAGGGACTTAGAAACTCAAAGAATTGTAAGTTATAGAGGATTGAATATAAGAAGTGTGTAAGTGAAAATTTGAATAAGAAGGTTTAAATGAATTTAGGAGCTGAATTTGACTTGCAATAAGGGTGAATAAGAAATAACAAATGTTGAAATTGAGTTTGGATTACATGGAAAATTTAGTAAGATTCTTAGTTTTAAGAATTTGGATGAGATATGGAAAATAATAAGATGTTGAATGATAGAAGTTAGTTAAATGGTTATAGTTGAGTTTGGTGGTATGAAGAAAACTTTATATGGAAATTGGGTGAGGTGTTGCTTATTTTTCGGGTGAAACAGCCTGTTCTAGGCAAGGGTACTGATACCCTATGAATGGGTATCGATACCCTATGAATGGGTACCGATACCCTAAGACCAATTTTGATGAACATCTTCATGAGGTATCGATACCCAAGGAGGGTATCGATACCATATGTACCGATACCATCAGGCATATCGATTCATGTAGATATCGAACTTAATTTGGGTACCGATACCCAGTAGTGTATCGATACCCTTCTAATGGGAAATATCGTTACTGTACTTAGGGGTACCAATACCTCTTTAGGGGAAAATGTGAATTTTATTTCTTAAGTAGCTTAAGTTATTAAAATCAAATTATAATGTTTAGGTTTATAATAATGTCTTGGAATATATTTATGTAGATACTGAGCCTATACGAGTTCCAAAACCATTTGCAAGTAAGAGCGATTGAGGGAAAGACAAAGAGTTATAGCTGAGTGCATGCATAGTAGGATTATAATGGTATATTAAACTTTAGACTTGTGATAAGTCTAGAGTCAATACACTAATACATAATTACATTCCATGCTATGATTCATGAATGAATTCACAATACATGCATTATGTAATGATGATTATAAGTGAATATGTATGAAACGTTATATGAGCCACGTGATAAAGGTAAGAATTTCTTGTTTATGTGATATAATCTATGTGAAATGTAAAAGCCCATGTTATGTAGATGAGAGATGCAGGTATAATTGGCATGCCAAGAGTAGAGGGTCTATGCGGTCCTTCGGGACAAATATGTATTCTTTGGAATACATATGAGGTCCTTTGAGACACATACTTGATCTTTGACATATGCATATGATTCTTAAGGAATTTCTATGTGGTCCTTATGGACATCTTATATGGCACTTCGGTGCATTTTTACGTGGCACTTCAGTGCAATTCTATGCGGCACTTCGGTGCAATTCTACGTGGCACTTCGGTGCATTTATTCAAGCTGTGGTGACAATATAGTGCACAACCTCATTATACTCGTACCTTATGTTCTCAATATTGTACCATGGGCTAGTGAACTAATTAATAATAAATCATGATTATTAATTGGATAAGCATATGTGTAAGAAACATGGTTATGTAAATTGCATAGAGTGAATATATGATTTCATGTCATTTTATCTTATTATGGAATTATCATTATATTTTATTGTTATTATTGTTATGCCTCACTAAGTCGATGACTTAGCATGTGAGTGTTTCACATGTAGGATACGAGAAGGTAGACAAGCAAGGTTAAACAGTTGGGACAACATTACTCCGCAACCATCAGATCAGAAGCAACTTAAATTGGGTCATTTTGTTATGGAAATCACTGTTGGCATGTAACCAAGGGTTTAAGTTGTGTATGCTTTGAGTATTTTGTAAACTTTGTAAATATATGTAAATATCGTATTTTCTTAATATAAGTCCAAATGTTTTACCATTTTGTTAAGAATATTGTTTCAGAAAGTCAATGTGACATCTCGGACTCGTATCAGGGTCGGGTACGGGTTGTATGTGTTATAAGGATGCTACTTTGTTGAATCCCATGACTATTAAAAATTATAAAATGGTCTCTCAACTATAGAGAGTTACTTTGTTGAGTCCCTTGACTAATAAAAGTTACAAAATGGTCACCCTACTATTCATTATGTTCCAAACTCATCATTTTCCATTAAAAAATTTAACTGTCATTAGAGTTGAATGCTCTAATATAGTGATTGAGGTATGATAGTCGCTTGAGATTATGAGATCCAAATTTATCACATCTAAGTCAGCAAGCTAACGTCCAACTTAGATTGCCATTAAATGTTTTTTTTATAGAAATGACTAGTTTAAAACATAATAAATTACTGAGTGCTCATTTAGTAACTTTTAATAGTTGAGGGACTTAATAAAGTAATTATTTATGGTTAGAGGACTATTTTGTAACTTTTAATAGTCGATGAAGCACGAACCAAGTGACATCTGTAGTAAAGGAATTGTCGTTATTCCTTGAGAGCTCAGGCTCAAGCACCATAGATGCCTTTAATGTCGAAAGGTTGAGAATTCTCTTTGAACATATTGCCTTATACTTATCCCAAATTAATAAAAAAAAAGTTGATGAACTCAATAAAATAATATCCTATAGTCAGGATACCATTTGTGTACTTTACCCTTAAATTAATTAGATTAAAATTAAAAGAACATCTAATCAGATGGTGACATGAATTACAATTTGATTGAGGAAGTAAATTAAAATTAGGACTAAGTTGAGAGAATGTATAAGTTATGAGGACTAAATATATAAGTATACTAATTTTATTAACTACCATGTCAATTACTCGACTAAATTTTAAAGGAAAATGGTTTAATTGAAATCACTTAAATAGGTCATGTTAAACAAATTAAAAATATAGTGGTCATATTGACACCAACCTTACAAATAAGTGGTCATTTAAGTAGTTTACCCTATATTACATTCCCAACACACGCTTTCATAACGCATCGTACTTTTCCTTTTCCTCCAAATAATAAAAAAGTTTTTGAGAAAAATGAAAAAAATAAAATAAAAGAAGAATTACTATCATGCTCCGCGGGTGTCACTCTCCCTACAAATAATTCCATCCGGATATAAAACTCTTATTCTTTTTATTCCAATATTTATTTCCTTTTTTCACCCTTTTTTAATCATCATTTCTCTCTGATTTTTGGCTCCCGATTTCAATTTCGCCGATTCATTACTACGCCACCAACGGCCAACCTGCCGGCGCCGGCGGAATTCCCTGGGTTTTTTCTTCTTCTCCTACACGCCAGATCCGCTTAATCGTCATCAAGTAAACTCCCAGGCGCCTTTTCATTTTTTCTTTTTTAATCTGAGTTCCTGTTTGTTTCCCGAGAAAAATAAAAAGAACAAATAAAGCAAAAAGGAGTTTTCAGTTTGAACTGTTGGCTGCCAACATTTTTACCTGTTCCATTTTCCTTATTGCTTTCAAGTTCAATCAAACAGAGAGAATTGCTTTGAGCCGATCATTCTTACTTTAACTGGAGACAGATCTTAAATCATTCTTAAAAGAATTTAATTTTTATGATCGACTTGATGTTCTTGATAATTTCTTTATATTTGTTCAATAATGTTATTTTATTTCATGATTCTTTTAGTGTTAAATTTGACTGAAGTAATGTTATTGGATTTTATTTATTTAATAAAATTATAGATCTTAATTTTGCGTGCTTTGATGAGGTGGTTACCATGTTAATAATCATTGCAGTTTTTGGGAACAAAGTAGTTATTATGTCTGCAATGAGTTAGGTTACTTAGGATTCACTTAATTAGTAAACCATAAATAGAATTTAAGATCTTTAATTGATTTTAAAATTTCATTATTTGGAAAGCTTGATAATATCACTGACTGATATATTGGTGGATGGGATTAGGGGTAGTTTGGTTCGGTTTGTTGTGATCAAAGGAGTGTTGAAAAGAGAAGAAAAAAAAGGTGTTGTCGGGGTGCCCCAGATGAGAACTGATGTTATTGACAGTAGAAGGAGGGTTCTTCTCTTCTTCAGCGTCTGGGTATAGGAAGGGTTTGACCCTTCTTCTCTTGGGTCAGAAGCACGAGGACAGGTCCATGAGAGTTTCACCGTGGAACCATTTCCAGTTGGTAGACCGAGAACCTGACCCTGACCTCCAACTGGCTTCCATCAAGAATCGGCTTCCCTGCGGGTGCGCCTCTTTTGTCTGCTTTCGTCGCACTTCTGCAGGGCTTGAAACACCGTCACCTTTGAAAATTGGTCCTGTTCTACAGCAGGATGTCTTGCCGGACTCTTGCGTTGTAGATAAGGGTAACGATCAAGCAAATGAGCTTGATGATGGCAATATCAATGTAAGAAAGGTTGTTTTGAAAAGTAGTTTGAAGAAGCAATTAAGTAGTGCTCAGTTTCTCTCGAGGGTGTTAATGATCGTGAGGCATTGGGGGACAGGATGACGATAACCCGAGTCATACAGAACTAAAAGGTGCACTGGACTGATGCTTATGGGAGTGAGCTTGCTGAAATCAGGGAATTTGAGCCCAGGTACACGAAATTTGTCTTCAAAATTAAAGTTTTATAAGCAATGCATTACAATTTCCAAACATATTTTAAGTTTGTTTTTATGCTATTTGCAACTTGTTAATTTGCCCTATTAATTAAAGTAATACCATGTCCCCTAATGTTTACAACTCTTTCTTGTTTTTCCTAAAGCTAGTTATATTAAGATGGTTTTGTAATATTGAGCAGATGCAACTATAAATCTACAAACACTCCTAACAATAGGTTGTAAATATATTCTCATTAGTCAAAAATTTGTATTCTTGCTTGGTAAACTACTCAAGTTTTTTCTGCAAGCCATACTAATGGCATTGCCATGGCACCCTTTGCACAAATTGGGATATAGCGGACGATTTCTTTTGGGTTTGTTTTTATAGTCTATAAAGATGTGAAAAGGTAGATGCAACCAATGCATAGATCTGATTTTATAGCATCTACTCTCAAGATCTCATTCATGTGATGACCTATCTATTTGGAAAAAAATGTAAGTTGTGTAAATGTGTCAACATAACTAGCATACATCTATGGATTTTGTAAGGTGTTTGAGTACTTTATTTGATACTAATTTGAATGGTAGCTGTCTTCACAAGAAATTACTGCTTGAATGGTAGATTATGTATTAGGTTCAACCATTCTAAGGCTTCTGGATTAACTTTTTATTTGAATTGGGTACTAGTAGGTATACAAGCGCTTTGTTATGGTGATTTATTTTTTCAAATCCCTATGTTTTCTACACAATGATAGCTAATGGGAGGAGATACATATGGCATAGGTTCCAATAAAAGTAGTTTAGCGAAGAATTATATATATAACTTGTTTATCTGATTGGTTGGTTGGCTTGGTTCATTATCCTTGATAGAATGTTCTTATATTCTCTTTGCTTGTTGAGTTTTTCTTTACTGATATTGATAGTTTATTTAATGTCAGTGAAACGGGTGGATCAGATGATGAATTCAGTAACGGAGTCGAAAAAACTTGTGCATGTACAATTATGTAGTTCGGCCATTATTTTGAGCTCTAATGATGCAATCAGGTAGAAGTCACTTGCTAACGAGTTTAATCTTTATGTTAGAAATGTTGAGTTGATTTGTGAGGAAAAAAAAAGAAGCAAGTGTTTTCTTTTGTTGTTCTACATTGAAAATGGAATGCTTCCAATTGAGAGGAGCTTTCTTTGTGGGCCAGCTTAGTTTGACTCATCTTTTGTGTCTATATGTAATATATATATATATTATTTGAGATTTCAATTTTGTCATCGTCACTTTTTTTTCTTTCTAATATCATGATTATGTTTATTATTCTTGATGTACGACCCTCTTGTTGTCCATTATTTCTTGGTAATTAATGTGTTTTTATATTCATAAGTTCAATCATGTCCTTAAAAAGGAACTTCATGCATCTCCTGGTATTAAACTTTGTGCTGGGTTTGTGACAGCAAAGTTAGGCTGAATGATTGTTAATTGATTAACTTGAATAGTTCTATCTTAAATGTTTTATGTGCATTAGGGAACAAGTTAAAATCCAATCAAACACAAAATTTTCAGTTTTTTTGGTCAGTTCGTCTATCTTCGCATTTGAGGTGTTCTTGTTTGAGCCGTACAATAATATTTGTTGCATATTATAAATAAAGATAATCTTGTACTTATTCAACTGAGTTGTTGACCGATTAAGTGGAGACACTAAACTCAAACAGAAAATTAATAATATTATTATATAAGAATATTTCTATATTTATTTTTATTCAATGACTTAACTAGTTTAGGGTTGGATCGGATTGGAATTTTAGTCGATCCTATCCGAATCGAAAAAATATACCCTTCACCTGAATTCGACTCGAGTTTAGGAGTCACTTGAAATAAAACTTCAACTTGATCCAATTCAATCCAAAATAAATATATTTATAATAAAATATTATTTTTATTCAATAAAAAATAGGGATCTAAGTGAAAAAAATAATATATAAAGATATTATTATAATTATCTCTAAATATATAAGGTAGATTTTTATTATTTTTAGGGTTGGGTTGGGTCATGTCGTATATTTTTCACCCTAAACTCGAATATGACTCGACCAAACATATTTTCTAAAAATTTTACTCAAACCTGATTTTTTTTTAAAATCCGACTCAACTGGATCGAGTGGCTTCGAGCGTTGGGTTTGAGTCTCATGCCCATCCCTAGTTTTAGTTTTCAAATCCTTAAATTAAATACTATTGCATGTTTAATTGTTGTTTGAACCTACAACTTTCAAGATATTGGAAAATCGAATTATTATTAATAAGATAGGATCCACTTACACACTTTAAAATATTTTAGTTTTACACGGATTTAAGATAATTAAACGAGAATAAATAAAATATTTAGATTAATAGTATAAAATGAGATGATATTCACTGAAAAAAAAACAAAAGATTAATCTCAATCATTTTTTTATTCATCCAATTATCCTAAATTTATATAAAATTTTTGAAAAATTATATTATAGAATTGGATTGTAACTCATTATTAATTATATTCTAAATATTTTAATGTTGCCATAATATAATAATTCGGCAATAATAAGATTCAATAAGTCTTTTTACATCTATTATTAAATATTTATTGAATTGACAGTTACTATTGAAATAGTTGGAGATGATGAGTCCCATTGTGTTTAAGTACGCAGTAATCTTTAATTTAATTAGTTTAGAATTTGAGGTTAAAAATAGTTTATATATTTGTATAAACAAATAAAACATGCTCTACATTCATGTATTTTTTCATTTTGAGAATTTTATTCTTTTAATTCTATTATTAAAAATTTAGTCTTAATTTGTCAATTTGAAAATTTAAGTTTCGTTCTTAACATCAGAATAAAATTGTTACCTTTATTGATATGAAATTTTAAAATTAAACAAAATCTCATTTGACAACCATGCATTTAAAATGAATATTATAATATTATAATATTCTTTGAAATAAAAGTTTCGGCATTTTATTTGAGTGGTACTTTAGACAGGTCCGGGCTCACTCTTGTCTGGGACCTAAATTAAATTCACATATAATTGAAAATGATAAATTATCTATTTAATTATACATTTATTATTTTATTTTTATTTTGATCATTTAATTATAATTTTTTTTCGAAGTCATATCTAATGTTTTTTTATTATCCATCATTAAAAAATAATGACGATGCTGATGTGATTTTTTAAATTATTTTTTTACTTTTCACTTAATTATTCTTTTATTATTTTTTGTCAAGATGGTGAAGATTAAAATTTAACATGTATTATTATGTTTGTTTTGTGCGAATAGTTTTTTTATTAAGCTAAAGTGATTACAAAAAAAATATCTATTTAAAATACTCTTAATCATTTGAGAATGAACGCTCAACTATCTTTACAATTGTTGGTGCTCAAAACTGTGACCTCTAGGAATAACAACAATTCCTTTAACTACTGAAGTAATTTAGTTTGTGCTTTGTGTGAATAGTTGAATGTTTAATAAAGTTTCTTGATGTTTTACTATTTAAAGTATGATGTATTTTTAGGTAGTTTATTAAATATAATAAAAATAATTTATAAGTAAATTTATTTAATTTTATTTGTTTTTATGATTCAATTTTCTTCTATACTTATTATTAAGGACGTAATTTTTATGTTTGTCCTATACCATTAAACTCTCATAAACGTTAAAGATAGGAGAAAAACGTTAGTTTGAAGCCATTATCCGTAGGGAAGCCTCCCGGTAGATTCTTAATCTGTTCTGATAAAAGGTTTAATCTATCTTCAAATCCTTGCAATTCATGAAATTCGTTAATAATTCCTCTAAAGGTAAAAAAAAATCTGAAAGGGATTTCTCACGTTGTTTGTTATCCAAAAGTCTTGAAATAAAGAGAAAATTCAAGAATTGTTACCATAATTTTAAAACATCTCCTTGATAGAATCCAAAACTCCTTAGGAGTTAAAATCAACCCAATGGAGGCGACAATCTATGATTCCAAATAATTCAACAACCACATTTTTACAACATAATCAGATTGAAGCCAAACTAAATATCTAGAATATTTGATTTTTCTCATCATTTTAGTGAGATGATAATCACATCCTTGAGAACCAATGAAGGTAAGGAACGCTTATGAACAAAGAGCATAATTTCTACCATTGAACTTTACAGTAATTCTAACAACAACGTGTAAATCAAAGTTTTTTTATAATCTTGAATTACAAATTCAAGTACTAAAAAAATAACAACCTCAAACACAGAGGCAAAGCCTCAAAAACGAATAGAAACATAAGAAATTAACCACACATGTGGAAATTTATGAATCCTCGTTAAAAAGAAATCATGAAAAAACCTTCTCTTAAGCCATGTAGAGTTACAGAATAGTAAAAAATAATCTATTGCATTTTTGTATCTAGGTTACTACTTTAAAGACTTACATATACAAAGTATTCTTTATTATAAAAGAAAGTAAACTATACAATAAATATGGAAAATATATTGACAATAATCTACCAATATTAAATATAGATAACACTAAAATTGGTAAGTCAATTATTAGACTTCAAGAGATGCAGGGATTGAGGAGGTGTCCTTCTTTAGAGATCTGACCTTTGCACTTAGACATATCTTTCATGTTATTCCTAGAGCACTAACTATTCCACCAGCGTCACCAGTATCTCCTACTGTAGTACCCATGATTACTCACTGGAGAGGCTCCGCCATTACAAGACTATAGACTTCTTCAGGTATGGGGATGAAATATCTATTACCGTTGACTAGTGGCTTCAAGAGACTCTCCCACACTTTGTTTGTAACAACCATAACCCGTATAATTATACTTATATAGATTATAGATGTCACCCGATATTTTGAAAACCATTTCCTCTTCAAAAGTGATTTAAAATTTATTTTCTTAAAATGGTAAATTATATTATAAAATTATCATATCATATGAATTATATTTCATTATAAGGTGTTTTACATAAGTCATGCCGGGTCCCTTTTTGGTCGATTTCAATCTCGACTTTCTTTTCAACATTTTCAACTTTCTAACCTTTGTCTTTAATTCCAACATCTGAACATAGTCAGAATCATCATACATTAGTAAAGAATAACTTTACTCCCTATAAGCATTATCACAGTATATATATAACTATCAGTAACTTTTGACATCCTAGTGGCATGTATACACTTTTTACTCAAAATAACCTCGGTTTAGTCCTAGAATCGGCTAAACCTGTAGCTATGAAACAAATAAATGTAACAACCATAACCCGTATAATTATACTTATATAGATTATAGATGTCACCCGATATTTCGAAAACCATTTCCTCTTCAAAAGTGATTTAAAATTTATTTTCTTAAAATGGTAAATGATATTATAAAAATATCACATCATATGAATTATATTTCATTATAACAAATTTAAAACAAAAGATTTTTTATGAATAGTGAATAGTAACCGTGAATAGTGTATCGATGAACTGCTACAGTATGTGAACAGTGTATCGATGCACCAAATTTCAAATTAAAATTGTGCATCGATGCACTGCTACAATACTGCTATAGTAATTTCTAAAAATACATATAAATTCATAAAAAATTATCCTTTCATCACTATAAAGATTACCATTTTGTTTCTAAATTTGTTCAACAAAACAAATAGAACATTATTAATTACATTCCACTATCTAAGTCAAATTCCATCAGTAGGATGTCTTACTGATATTGAAACATACTCCTCGATGCTCGATGACACTTTGAACTCTTTATTCCACTACTGGCATTTTACCTACGCGTGAAAATCATCACACACTAAATATAAACTTAGTGAGGCAATTTAAAACAATAATCAGTGCAATACAATTCATACATGAATTTCAATGTCAAATTCAAAATGCTATAAAATCATGTTATTTGTATATCCATTATTTTAGCCTGATCAAAATAATATAACATTTCTTATCAATAAATTTACCATTTATCCCATAAGCTCGTAACTTATTTTACCAATACACTTACCATTATTCCATAAGCTCGTAAGCTTAGTTTACCAATATACTTGCCATAACCATTTATCAATATTGGAATCCATACATTCCATAGGAAATTCATACAATTCATGTAATTTCCTTTTAATATTAGCACTCTCAGTACTCTATCTGGAAAATCATACGCTTAATATGATGCCTCATCAAGGGATTTGTACGATCGCTTCCTCTACAATAGTTGTACAGTCTTACTATTCGAGCCACCTTTTTAGGTTTTCAACTCGAATCCTCCTTTGGTTTCAAGACGTTATTCATGATTTACGTC